AACATTCTAAACTAACACAAGTCTCATTAAGTGTCCAGCTTAAGGGTATTACACAGAAACACACCACAGGAACATGAATCAAATGTGTACTTTATTCATTTACAATAAATTCATAATGTACATATTTCTGATTGAAGCTAAGGGCATAGAACTGTCTAACAGCCTGCTGGTGTTGTAGTGGCTGACTTATTTTGTTGGCATACTACACACTTGGCTATGAAGTTCTGAATGGATGTACGCATGTCTTTCCAATGGAACTGTGTGGCGATGTGTTTTTGTGTTCGTAGGATGCCGGAGTGGCCACCTGTGGGTGAGGCATGGAACAATTCCAAGAGCTTCCTGAGATGAGTGGAATCTGCCGGGATTTCCAGGCGTCCTTTGAAGAAGAGTAGATCATCCTTGATGGTATACCCGGGGTGCGGTGATGGATTTGCCAATACTTGGACTTTCAACTGTTGTAACTTCACATGGGATTGGGCTTCTTTTCCAAGCTGATCCAGGAGTGGAGATGTTGGGGAAGATACTAGTAACCGAAATGATTGTGGGTGCTGTGACAGGGCGTCAGCCACCCAGTTAGCAGCCCTTGCTTTGTACTCAATTGTGTAGTCGTACCCCAGTAGTTTGGATATCCATCAATGTTGTTTCGGCGATAGGATTGCTTGTTCTAATAAAAATTTCAAACTTTGATGGTCGGTCCGAATTATGAACCGTCTCCCGAGCAAGTAGGATCACCAACGTTGAACTGCTAAGACCACTGCTATTAATTCTTGTTCATAAACTGATTTAGCCCACTTTTGTGATGTTAAGGCCTTACTGAAAAAGGCTAGTGGTCACCCCTCTTGCATGAGGACGGCCCCAACACCTTGACCGGAGGCATCACATTCAATGATGAAATCTTTTGTGAAATTAGGTAGTGCTAATGTTGGAGGTGTCGAAACTGCATGTCTCAACTGCTCAAAAGCTTGTTGGGCCTGGGTTGACCAGTGAAAGGCATCTCGTTTCAGCAATTGGGTCAATGGGGTAGCTATCAGGCCATAGTTTTTTATGAAGTGGCGATAGTACCCTGTCAGGCCCAAGAAGGCCCTCAATTACTTCACACTTTTGGGTTGCAACCAGCCCATTATACTGGAGATTTTATCTGGGTTGGCTGCTACAGTTCCGTTTTCTACAACATGTCCCAAGTAACAAACTTGGTTTCTTCAAAGGAGCACTTGGACTCTTTAGCGAACAACTGGTGGGCCTTAAGTGTTGCAAGGGTGACATTGGTTGGGACGGCTCCTGGCATGAGAGGGACGCGGTGGTCATGATCTCGACGTGGTGGAAGTTCTTGGGGTTCTTTGAATACGCTGCCATATTGCTGAAGGAGTTGTTGTAGGCGGCTTTGGAAGTCTCCAGGCCCATTTGGGCTGCTGTTAGCTAAAGATGGGCTGGTCCAATTTAAGTCCATGTGCATGAATATGGGCTGATCCGGATCTCCCACTTGCTTTGTTAATGTTGCAAGACTGATGGGCCTTGGTCCCTTGCATGTTTGCCCTTGTAGATGGATTGTAGAGTTCTCTGATGTGAAGTCCATGGTGAGACGGGCCCAGTCATAGATCACGGAGCCTGGCTGTCTTAACCATTGAATCCCTAGCACCACATCTGCTCCACTGAGATGAAGAGGATATAGGTCCACCGAAAACTGGTGACCCTGAACCTTTAGTAGTAAGCCCATGCATATACTATTGTAAGAGAGGCTATTACCGTTGGCCACATGAACCGTAAAAGCCATTGTTGGTTGAACCGGGAGTCCCATTTTATCCACCAAGACTTGAGTTATGAAGTTAAGGAAACTACCACTGTCTATGAGGATTGCCAGTTGGCGTCCTTAGATTAGCCCGACAACTCTCATTGTTTGTGGGGACGCAAGTCCCGTAAGGGCTTGTAGAGATATTTTTTATGTCCCATTGGGTTGTATTTCCCACCCTGAGTCAGGTTCCCTGCAACCGGTGAAGTCGTCTTCCTCTTCAGCATCCATTTGAAGGAGAAATGCCTATTGTTTCCTGCACCGATGGCCTGGCCCGAATTTCTCTTCGTAGTTGTAATAGAGTCGTTTGTCTCTACGGGCTTGCATCTCTGCCCAGGTCAGCCGTTTGAAGGGAACCGATGGGCCTAGGCCTAGTATTCCTTCCTCTTTGTCTAGTGCCGTCGTCCTGGTTACTGCACCCCATGGCCGCTGCACCTTTCTGGCTCGAGCAAACTTGTCTTCACACAGTCTTGCTAGCATTGCCACATTTATGACCGAAGTAGGCTGCATCGCCTTTACTTCCAGTCGCAGTTCTTCTTTCAAGCCACCGACGAAGCTTCCAACCAGCGCCTTTTCCGTCCACCCTTGGACTCTCACGACCAGTTTTTCAAACTCCATCTGGTAGTCTTTAACCGATCCCACCTGCCACAGCTTTGCTAAACTCTCATCGTGATCTTTGAACCCAGACGATCCAAAACGGATGGTCATGGCGTCGGTGAAGTCTACCCAAGATTGACGAGGGTGCCCCTGTTGATACCATTGAAACCATAGGATAGCTTTCCCCTCAAGATGCACCAAAGCCAGAGCCACCCTATCTTGCCCAGGTGTCTCATGGTAATCAAAATACCTCTCGGCTCTGAGAATCCAGGGAGTTGGGTCGCCGCCCTGTTCTGCGGTTGTTTTCATTGCTGCACTCTTCTTGGCTTCCTCTGTCGTTGTTCGTTGCCACCTGCTCCAGTCGATTGAGAGCAATGAAACTTTCCTTCATTTCTTTGAGATCTGATGACATTCGATGGAGCTCTACTTCCATCTGATCCACTCGGGTGTCTATTGACGTGGTTCATGTGTTGGTCATGCTGGCTCTGATACCAACTTGTTAGGAACCTGCCTAACTCGGGGCTCTTCGAGGGAGCCAACCTCCTGAATTCGTTGAAAGGGAAGAGAGAGAGAGAGAGAGAGAGAGAGAGAGATGCCGAAAGATTCCTGTCTTATTTCCCTTTGTGCTTCACTACTTATACTGTTTACATTCTTTAATTCCTTTCTGTTACAACTGTTGCAAGTGGACAATTAGTTGTGCTGATGTGGCCTTCTCTTGTAAAACTGATTAACTGCTTTCTGTTGGTTTGTTCCAGCGGTCTTTACAGAAAGTCTTAAATAAAAGCCAATGACAGTTCACAAAGCGGAATCTTATCCAGTTTAAAGGCTAGAGAGGCTATTTTTAGGTGAAATTTGGTAGGTGAGATTTCTAAGGGGCCTAGCCTTGGTGGGGTTTGATTGGTTTGAAGATGCTCAGATACAAGGGATGCGAGGATCATATATCTCAATCAACAAGAAGGGCTAAAACAGAATCTTGCTTTGATCAAGGGGTAAACGAAGGAATTTCAAAGTGAAATTTGATAGGCAAGGGTTTTAAGGTATCAAGAGTCATTTGGTAGTGTTTGATTGGTTAGGTGAGGTTTCTTAGGTGGGGTAAACAAGGGAGGTTTGGGCAGAAACCTGGCAAATAGGGATTTGATGTGTTTGGGACTTCATTGCAATGGTTGATTGGTTACTAGCGATATCTAGATGGGAGATAAATTGCCCAAGTGTCCATTTTTGGGTGTTGACATCTACCTCCTAAAGAAACATAGCCTTGCTATTCAAACAAATAGAAGAAAACAAAAGTCTTTTTGCTGACATTCACAAGGTGAAATTCATCAGATCTCTACCAAATATACACCAACAACCATAACCAAATAGTCTCTCTTGCTAATGAAAATATACCTGCCCTCCAGCACTTAAATTCTTTAAAATAGAATCTACTAAAGGCTTCTGCACAACTCTTCTCTTGTGATGCCTTTTCTTGAAATGTGGATCTGGGCACTGCAAGGAGATGATGAACAAGATCCTATTCAGAGCAACCCTACTGCATTTAACAACCTTAGAGTAGGTCTTAAAGGAAATAAACATGAAGCATATAAATTATAAATTCTTTTGGTACAAGGGAATGGAAGCCACATATTATGCACTCACCAGGATAGAGACTAATACTAAAGGTCCAGGATATGTTGATAATACTTGTTCAAAAGAAGCAGTGGCATTTGCAAACATGAAATATCTGTGATTCAAAAGAGAAGAAAAATCCTTAAGGGTAAAAAATAAAATTGTGATCTCTCATCTGTTTTCCAGAAAGAGTAATGAAACCTTACATGTTATTAAGAGACAATTCTTTCACCCACAACTGTGCACGCTTGACCAACTGCACAAGTAAGATCATGTAGGAGTTAAGCCCACATGAAAAGTATGAAAAGTATATGTAGGAGTTAAGCCCATACTTTTTTCCGTATTTCAAATCCCAAATAATTTTTTGAATCAGGAATCCTTTTTGCAAGCCATATGAGGAATCTGCCGCTACCTGGGAATTCTGACTTGTTAGCTTGATGTCAAAAGTATTTTCTTCTTTACTCTCTCTAAAAGCTTTGAAGGGAGGAAATATGTAAAATCATATTCTATGTGTTTATTTTGCTAACTCTTCATGCATAAGTCATGACATTTTGCAAGTAAAAACTTAACTAACCTCATTATATTTTGCAACATCAACAGGATTTCTAAATGAGATATTCATTCACCCATAGTATCAAAAGCCTAAATATAATAAAGAAAGCCATGGGAAGTTACATGAAGAATGGAACAATGAAAATACC